CTTCTTCTTCTTCTTCTTCTTCTTCTTCTTCTTCTTCTTCTTCTTCTTCTTCTTCTTCTTCTTCTTCTTCTTCTTCTTCTTCTTCTTCTTCTTCTTCTTCTTCTTCTTCTTCTTCTTCTTCTTCTTCTTCTTCTTCTTCTTCTTCTTCTTCTTCTTCTTCTTCTTCTTCTTCTTCTTCTTCTTCTTCTTCTTCTTCTTCTTCTTCTTCTTCTTCTTCTTCTTCTTCTTCTTCTTCTTCTTCTTCTTCTTCTTCTTCTTCTTCTTCTTCTTCTTCTTCTTCTTCGACCTCTCAGTGACATCATCTCTTTAGTTTCCCATCATCCCTAACTGCCTCTGGTTTCCTCCTCAAACGTCTTGTTTAAACCACGTGTCGTCGTCTCCTCCTCGCCGCTCTGTTCCCTCCGTCGTCGCCTCGTTCGCTCATTTGTTTTATGTTTCACCCTCTCTCTCTCTCTCTCTCCTGCTCGGCCTCTGCAGAACCGCTTAGCGTGCGGGTGAGTCACGGAGCTGTGAGACAAACGATGGGAGTAACACAGTGTGTTCTGTGTTTGAGTCTGGAGTCTTTGACACCAGGTCACGACCCCAGTCTGGACCCGGGACTGAAATACAGTTCCTTTAAAATAGTGATGTCATAATCATTGTGGTTCAGGGTCCACACACAGCCGGACCAGAACAATCAAAACATAATAATATGAAGAACAGGTCCAGGTTTTCAAGCAAATATTACAAATATATTAGAAAATATTTATGTAAAAATATCACGGACATGAACAGTTTGAGCATATTTTTTACTTCAAAAAATCAGGCCGGATTGAATCCCTTAGCGGGCCAGTTTTGACCCACGAGTGTGCTTCAAAGTTTTTCAGAGCTTTGACAGTTTTCATCAGGGATGCATCAGTGTCAGGTGGTTTTTGTGTGTTTTCCTACTGCAGTTCACGCCTCGTCCTCCGGGTGGTTTATTAAAGTAGGTCAACAATGTCAACATTTGGTGGAGTTTTAACATCAGTAAAAAAAAAAACAGAAATAAAACTTAAAAGTACTGAAGGATTTCTACTGTTACGATACGAGACGTTTACTCAGGTTAACCACCTAGTGGACGAATGGGGAATTTACACAAGTTATTTTGTTTCAGACTAGTGTTCAAAGCTCTGCTCACTTTCTGTTCAGCCGACTGTGTTAACTATGGAGAAAGTTCAGTTTTTTTTAATTATATTTATTTATTCTTAATTTCTTTAATATTTTGTCTCAGGTTGAAAACTTTTTCAGTTTATCACAGAAATATTTGTTTCCTTTTGGATTGAAAAAGTCGTCTGTTAATTAGAAGAAAATAAAACTGGTCGGACGAACGTCGTTCAGTTTTTATATCAGAGTTAAAAATACGATCATTTTCATTTTTTCACCATAAAAAAAACCCTCTGACGTTGTGTGAATGTTTATCTCCAGCAGGTGGCAGGCAGAGGGACAGACCCTCGGTTGGCGCCGCCGTATGAAGAAGTGGAACGTCAGTACGCCTCCTTACCAAGGTACACCCCCCCCCCTCCCCCCCATGACTGACACCGCTGCTCGAGATGATCCAAAATGAAACCCGGCCTGTTGACTCTCCTAAATGTGTACTAAGTACTTGAAGTATTTCATAAGTACTCCTGTAGTATTGCTGGTTGTAAAAACTGGATTTTTCCCGTCGTATGTCAGTTCATCACCTCCAGCCAACGACAAATGTTTGTAGAAGCGCCAGTGTGTGTGTGTGTGATGGTAGAGCGACAGTTAATGGAGTGAGTGACAGAAGTTTTTGGCGTCAGGAACTTTACGGCCGGTTCCCACCGCTGTTCAAACCCTGAGGGGAGACAGTTTCACACGTCGTCAGTGAGTGTGAGAGTGTGCACACACACGTGGGGGTGTGTGTGTGTTTGGGGGGGGCGGGGGGGGGGGGGGGAGGGCTTTGGGATGGCTTTGGCAGATGGGAGCCAGAACAGTGATAGTTTTGAGGCATGGATTTGGTCTCTGAAGAGTACACACACACACACACACACACACACACACTGTAATCTGTTCATTCTTCACCAGGTTTAAATATGGCTCATTTTTACTCAGCCCTGTGACCTTTGACCCCTGACTTCCTGTAACATTTCAGACATGGTGGATAAAAAACATCACCTAAAATATTTTACAAGTGAAAACAAGAAGTGATGGAAAAAAAGGCCAAAAATATGATTTTTGAATTTTTTTTAAAGTTGCGATTAATCGTTTGATTTTCTATGATTAATCGTTAGTAATTGCATCATTTTGCGTGACTGTTTTGTTGACTTAAGCAGGTTGTGATTGTGGAATGTAACAAACACTCTGATTGGCTGAGGACAGAACCATCATGTCATTTCTTTCTGCATCCAAAACCATTCAAAAAAGATTTAAAGTTCCTCCCTGATGTCTGAACCTGCTGCTGTTGTTCTAGAATTATTTCTGAGACAGTGAGACACCCACTGGTCGGAGGACCACAGACATGAAGGTCTTTAACATCACTGTCATGTCGTGAACCCCGGCTTCTGCATCGTGTTCAGAGGTCGTGACCTCAGTCAGTAAGTTTCACCAGGAATGGAACCATCAAACATCTGAACACACAGTGTGACGTGACAGAACCAAACGGTTCCAATCAGGAAGAGGAATGGGCCGATGTCCAGTTGGAGTTTAACCTCGGAGGTTGAGATTCCATGAAACGACCCTCGAATTCAGGGTTCATGTTTGGTCGATGAAGGATGATGACTGTGTGTGTGTGTGTGTGTAGTCATTGGAAGGTACCGCTGTAGATGGGTCTCCGTGATACGTTGGACATGAACAGTGACCCCCAACATCACCCCCCCCCCACTTTCCCACCATCTGTGGACCATTACTGACACGTTCCTCCTTTTCCACCTCCAACTGTTCCTCCTCATCTCGTCCTTATCTTACACAGATCTAGTCGTTTTTCACTCGCCAAAATCACTTAATATATATTTACACACATGTATATATGTACATGTGTGTAAATATATATAAATATATAAAACTGATTTTTTTTCATTTTTTTTCATTGGTTTTTGCAAAAAACGATTATTCCCTGGGTTGAACTCTCCCTCAGTGTTTTACACCATCAGTGACATCACCCCTGAGGCCCCCCCCTCGCCCCAGACTCCACTCAGCCTGTGATTCCATCAGTCTGTAGAACCCATTCAGTTCCGTGTGGTTCCACGGATGATCTTGGTGTGATGTCATCGGCTCAGCCTGCAGCTGATTGGATCGTCCGCCTCCTTCCTCGTTTGTCCCTCTTATTACTCTCATTGGATTTGAAGGGCCAATCAGATTTCTTGTGCTGGTTTCTGGGAAGGTTGTCACTTCCTTATTATGATGATAATTAGATGAGGTGAAATTAGAAAGACGTGCGTTGTCTCTTTGTCTTCATTTGTCCCTTCTGTCCTCCGTCCTCCTTCCTTCCTTTCCTTCCCTGCCTCCTACTCGTTCGTCCTCATTCCCTGAGGGGCTGCGGGTGAAAAGGACATGGTTGAGGACCACAGCCCCCCTCTGCCCCCCCGGTCCCAGGACCTCCCAAACAGTCCAGAGAGTTTCCCAGACCACTTCAGTCCTGCAGGGACAAACCGCTCCATTGTCCTGGAGTTTCTGAATGATTTTTCTGGACTCATCAAACTCCTGCATGTTTCTTAGTCATGAAGTGGATTCTAACAATGACGCCCCTCCACTTACACCCCCACCCCCGCCACTCTGTCACTCTCTCTCGCCCCCCTCTGGTCCTCATCAAACTGTTTCTCTAAAGACTTCTATTCACTGCTTTCATCCTCGCCGTCGAACTTTAAATGTTTGGTTACAACCTTTAATGTGTCGCACAGGCGTTGGGTCCCGTCCTGACATGGGTCTGATATACTTTGTGTTTATGACTGGCCCCCGTGGTGAAGCCCCTCCCCGCCTGTAGTTTAGTTTGTGTCACAGGTTATAAGTTCAACTGCAGTTGTGTTTGTGAAATGTCCACATGTGGTGGATATGAGTGGGAATCGAACCCTTGACTCTGTGGGTGTAAATCCTCCCTCGTTTACAGACGTTTTCAGAGCTACGTTTACATTTTAAAACTGAAAAAAAAAATTTGCAGATGAGTTTCAAATGAACGTTTGATCAAAGTTTGTTGTTGAGAATTTGAATTTGTCTTTGAGACGTTGGCGATGAAGGAAGAAAGTCCAGCTAGGTTTGAAATGATTCAGTTTAATAGGAGGTGCGGGGGGTGGGGGTGGAAAGGCTTTCAGCCTGAATTGCAGTTTTGTTTCAATGGAACGTTCCAGAGCTAGCGCTCGGTGCTAACACAGCCGCTCAGGTACGGAGCCGTCTTAACTGTAAGTGGTTAAAAAACCAAAGTGTCGTCATTAAAATCAGCAGCGGGAGCAGAGATGAAAGTGTGGACTGTTGTGTTGGGAGCAGCTCCGTCGGACCTTCAGCTGTTCTCCTGCCCACGGCTAAGTGGTCGCACACTGTGTGTGTGAAAGCGTGAGTGTTTTCAGTTCAGGAACGCCGGTTCAGCTGCGGCTGCCGTTTGTTTGGTTCCTGTGTAAATGTGAGTTTTTGTGCCTGTGCGAGAACCACAAACCTCCTGAAACACTTAGACTACGGGGTCAAAGGTTAAGCAAGGGCATTACAGGGCGGAGGTTTTTGGTGGGGGCAAACTGAAGGGGTAGACACAACAATGGAGCTCACAGCACCGTTTGGAAAAGTTAACAATGTTTGGTGAAGATTCTGGGACTGGAGCCCACGACACGCAGAACAAGTTCAAGAAAAAAACACAGGACGGAGAGAGGAAGGACAAAGAGACGTCGGAGGAAAATGAACGGCGTCCAGTAAATAGAGACAGTTTGGAGTTGAAGGTCGACGGCACAAACGAAACGGAACAATGAAGAAGAGATCGAGCTGCCGAGGAAAAAAAAGAAAATGAGACGGTGGAGATGAAGTGAGAGAAAATGGAGAAGAAACTGGTGAAAAAGGCAGAGAGACGAGTGCTGCCCTCCAGAGAACGGGGGCGCTGAAGGTCAGCATCTGCTGAGAATAATAGGCCCTGCTTTAGAGAGTGTGTGTGTGTGTGTGTGTTTGTGTGTGTGTGTGTGAGTGAGTGCTTGTTAGTACAGTTCATGTTGGAATGAAACTAAATACCTTCCAGAGGCTCCGCTCCGTCCTTGTCAGTAAAGTTCTGTCAAATACCATCAGTTTAAATGGACATTACAAACCCACCCCCGACTGGTCCAGTCCACGTGGACCGGACCACATCGTCCTTCATTCACAACGCCACAAATGAAACCGGCCTATTTCTGATCAAATTTCAATATAAAACATCCTTCAGAATCAGATAATAAATAAAACTTAAAATAATTTAAGTTTTGGATTCTTTCTGAGCGACCCGGTACCAATTGACCCACGGACAGGTGGCGGTCCGCGGCCCGGGGGTTGGGGACCACTGATGGACCGCTGTCGTTACACTGATGATTCCCATCAGAGCTTTAGTGACATCTGTTGGACGAGATGTCGTCCAGGAACCCACGTAGACCAGACTCTCAGTAGGATCAGTCTACAGTCTGTACAAAGACGGACAGACCGACAGTGGACGGGGACGGTGGAGACAACCGTCAGAGGAGCTGAGGGACGAGGGCCGTCCAGATGGAGGGAGACCGTTGCCTCGGAAACACACAACAACGGAGGTTCAGAGTGGGTTTATTTTCCTGCATCCCATCGTAATGTGAGCGCGACATTTGGAGACAAAACATCAGAGCTGAGATCACAGAGGAAAAAAAAGAAAGAAAGAGACGAACTGAAGTGTTGGGGGGGAGGGGGGGGGGGGCTTGGCCAACGTCTCTGACCTTTTTCTTCTTTTCATATTAAATCCATAATTATTTCATCAAAATCATTTATATCCATCATTTTGTTTTCTATTTCAAAGTAGTGTTTTTTGGAGATAATGCTTGTGTTGACTTGTTCCTGGTTGTATTTTTCATTATTTCCCACTTAAGACTTTATTGCTTCACGGCTTGGACTGAGATTAAAGCTTCATAATGAAGCATCACGTTAGACTGAAACTAAGTTAAAGTCGTCCACTCACTCACCGCAGCTCGGAGTCACGGCGGAACTTTTTCATTTATTAATCGGTTCTCTCACGACATCAGGTGAGGACCAACCTGACCAACGACGACGACGTCACTTCAGTTTGTCAAAGTTCAAACTTCAGATCAGTTTGAATGATATCTGAAGGTTAGAAAAGAGAAAAATAAATATTAAATATTTCTCTGTTTTCTTTTTCAGAAGTTTAGGATCTTTTTTGGGCTGATGTTTGTCTGGTTCTGTTCAGTCCGACTGTCACCGGCTCTTCTTGAATTTTTTTTTTTTTTTTTTTTTTCGTGTTAAGTTACAACATTTTGGATCCTCTCAATTTCTTAATTATATTTTTTTTC